TTTTTCTTACCTTCCGGCTTTTGACATTGCTATATTATAAAAAAAATATAAAACATTTTTTCCGTATTGATATATAGTTATATCAACACTCGTGGAAGTTGGGAAAACTCGAAATGGTATGAAAACACTCCGCCCTTCGGGCGTCGTGTTTCCATATAATTTCTCGTTTTCCCAATTCCACTCGTGTTGATATAACTGTATATCAACACGGAAAATGTTTTATATTTGTTAAATATATATATATATATATATATATTTTGTATGAATAAAATTATTATCATTAATTATATATATATATAGTACAATCTGCAGACATGCATGTATTTACAAAAGTATTATTACATTAGTATTTACAAAATAATGGTTTAATATTACAATAAAAACGGTTACTTAGTTTGAAAGAACAAATGAATAGAAAGAAAGGAAAACAAAAAGAAAGTTAAGTTAAGTTGCTTCAATTCCTTGAACTTAACAGCATAATGATCAACATAAAAGAAAATAACAATGGGCTTTTTCATGACCGAGTAGTAAGTACATAAATACAAGAGAGAACTGCTGCAATATCGGTTTAATTCTTGACACTCCGCCCTCGTAATCATAAACAACCAGAAACAAAGGGAGTTGTCGTGTAATAAGTAGCTTTATCTCCACTTCAACTTTCAATTGATCCTCACAGTAAACAATAAATATATGCAAGTCCATGTTAACGCCAATTAGCATTAACCACAGAGGAATTGTGAAACATGAAACGCATGTCGACGCCCGCAAGGCCAAGGTACCAGAGAATTTGATAGGTACCCGACGTATTAAGTAGTTCAGTGACAGTTTGATGCTTACGGCGAGAAGAACTTCGTCAATTAGATAACATTTTCTGCGTGCTTGGTGAAGTCGAGTTTACATTAGTGTATTGATGGCGAGTTTCAACTCTTGTGCATAAGTGATCTGGTTACTTGAGCATCAACTTTGTGGATTTGTGTGTCAGCACATAGGTTCAGTTTGCCCAAAGGTACAGTACATATCTTCATTCACACTTCATTCTATCATTAATTCTTGCAACATAGTGGCCTACGCCGCGAAGGTCCACAGAGTTTTTCCTGAGATGCACTTGCTATTCTCCCTCATCTGCGCAAAAGCACAATACACACATCGCTGTTCACACTTTCTTTCATCAATTCTTGCAAACTTAGTGATTTATTATTATACTAACGATTAAAATCGTCTTAAGCTTTAGAAAAAGTGAATAATCTTTTAATAGGCCCATTAGTTGTAATAATTTAATAAGTACAAAGCATTTGAATTGCTCTTCAACTGAGACTTGTATGCTTATTCTGTAAAAGTTTATTTGGAAATCTACACCGAGTTGTGATTTCCAACTCCAAGCGTTATTAATTAATCAGGTAGATAAAGGAAGGACATTGATCTAGTAGTAGAAACTTTCACACAGTTCATTAATTGGTATTGCCCAAAGGTCCACCGAAATGCTAGTTTGATTCGTGTAGTCACGTAGCCTTTAGTTATTTTGAGATAATTTTGGTCACTTTTGAAAAGGTTGGCGTTAACTGAACTCCAACCTTTCAGACAACAATAGAGTAGAGCTTTTTTTATTTTATGTTTTTGAGCTGTGTTGTTGATTTGAAGAAAGTTTATGTGCTTCGAGTCCATCAGCAACTGTCCTGGTGTTCAATGTGTTAGCAGCAGTTTCCGCTTCATATATTTACTCTTTAATTACCACCTAATGTTGACCTGTTAGTAAAACAATATGTATGTACACGTATTCTTGTTTATTGTTTAGTTAGTCAGTAAATGTTGTTTGGTTAGTCAGTAAACTATACATGATTGGATTAATTCCCTACCTTCGTGTTAGAGTATGCACAGAATAGGTAATGAAAACGTATTAGTCGCCGTTGGGTGCGCCTCGTTAACTTGTGCGAATATCACTTCTACAAGATTAGATAAATCGTAAAGATTTCGAAATTCGTATTAGTAGAAGTTATTTCACTTTTTCACTTTATTTTGCGCGCTGTTCTTCACTTTTATACTTTGCCTCTGGGAACAAAACTGTCAAAAAGTTCCTCTTTCCCTATCGTGCGTGTTTCGTACTTTTACAATCTGGGTATTTGGTTCGAAGGCGAACACCGTATTAAAGTCTTGGAAGTCTAAATTTCGCTCCATGCTTGAGCACGGCTAATTTGCATACGGTGCGCGAATGGGTACTCGTTATGACGTTATCTGCTTGAGTATTCGTTAAAAACTGAAACGCAGTATGAAAGGGAATCTCTGAAAGCCTGAAATCTTAAATTCGCTCTTTGCAGGAGCATGGTTAATTAGCATTCATTGCGGGAATGAAGGTCACCTGCGATTGCGCTGTTTGCGCGTGTGGTAGCTTTGCCGACAAGTCCACAATGCGTCACGAACAATAATTTTGCGCAAAAAGTGAATAAAGATTTCCGATACTTACCTCTTTAATCATAAATGAAAATAGCTTTGCGAACACTTTGTTCAGCATGTGAGACCTAATCCATGCAAACTTTGAGCAGTAATCATAGCTAATCATCCTAGGGACGCCTCGAGGCTGAATGCATCGTTTCCGTGACCTTGGCTGAGGAATGCGTCAGACCCTAGCTGGTTCTGTCTATTCGCACAGTTCGAACTTGACATGATATTTAAACTAAATATATAAATATGGTAATTAAAATTATATGGCTAATTATTATATGGGTGTGAACGCAGCTTGCAAAAACTGATGAGGAAATTTTTTAAATTGGAAAAAAGTAGGTCGGGGTTCCCCCCCCCCCCTCCCGCGACCCACCAGGAACAGGATTAAGGGCGCTTTTCTTACATCTTGAATGCCTGACGCAACTTCAAAGGTTCCTTTAAGTGAATCTTAATAACCCTTCGATGAAAAATGCAAATTTTGAACGGAGGAGCAAATATAAATGATATAATGAGATGCAGTTGGAATTAGCGTTCATGCATATATAATTAGGTTTGCCACTGACTTTGAAATAAGTCGAAATATTATCTTGAATTTTGTTATCTTGTTTAAATAGCTCGAATCTCCAGTTTAAAAAATGTTAATATTTGGAGGCATCTTATATATTTTGCGAAATTGTCTGCTGTAAAGAATTTTAGCCGAGAGTATGCTAAATTAATTAAATGTTTATTTTAAGTTGATTTATGATATTACATATTTCCGTTGCTTAATATAAACTATGGAAGTCATCACAGGTATATATTTTATCGCACATAATGCAGAAACTTTACATCATACGATATATTAAATGGTTATCCCCATGTAGTTACCGAACGTTTAAAATATAAATCGCACCAAATTTGAAGCGGAAAATTCAGAAACTGTGTCATGCAGTATATACTAAGCCATACAATCTTTCATCGATATTAACTACTTTACAAGCCACTCTGCCGACCTGTCATTTTGACCAAGTGTTCACTATCCGACCCGGACGTATGAGCACAAAGCATAGATCCTTCAAACTGTTCACTTCAATACAAATGCGTTAACGGGAACAAACAGTTTAGTCTCATGACTTGAAAAACAAACAGCTGATCTTATGGTTGTGTTTTCTTCAAATATCTACAGGTGGAAGAGTTGATAGAATTTGACCTACACTACAGCGAAACCTACAGCGAAGCTTTTTGGACGAATCCTGCATTTCTCTTTGAGGTAGGCGATTTATTTTTGAACTTCCTTTGTACTTTTATATTCCACGTGTTGCTAAAGAAATTCCTTGTACATTTTGTTCAATGAGTTTATTTTTGCGCCCTTTTTTCCAAGTAATATTGATGGTAAATGTACATCAACGGTATAACATGCCGACTGCAAAGCCAACGGACTTGAATTATCACCTTCTGACTGATTTGACATCATGTTTTAATTAAGCAAGTACAGTATTCGAATTTATGAAATCGTGACAGTTGGTCAAGTAGCTTTCGTCTATCCCCATTAGAGGATTTGTTTAAAACCCACTGTTGTTAATAGATAAACCGTTCTCATAATGCATTTCCCAAAACTGTTCAATCTTTCACAGAGTTCAGAGTACACAGGTAGTGTGAAATAACTGCATTATGATTGGTTGACAAATGACAAGTATCGCAGTGTCCTTGCAAACTTCCTGAAAAAACGCGCGTTTTGTTCGTTTGTTTTAACATGTTTAAACCACGCGGAATTTCGATACACTAAAATTCAATGACACTTTCTATAAAACGAATTTAAAAAATGGCCGGATTAGCTCGCGAAGCTAATTGTAAATACATTAAATTTAATAAACTCTCTCATTAATTCTTAGGGGTATAGTTTTTAAGCGAGGGAGTTCGACTTCCTTATTTGACACATAATGTTTCCAAAATTTTCCGAGTAAATATGTTTTGGACTACAGTATGCCAAGGTTAACATTAAGATGGATAAGTGTTTACGATATTCGTTTCGTATACCGGGAACTGAATATCTAAGTAGATTATAAGAACAAATATTGATCTGCTTCTTTGTAATGCACGCGTTAAAGGGAGTTAAATTTGGAAGTATTAAAAAAGCGCAATATTATAATCAGTATACAGTATAGTACAATGCAGTACAGTACAGTACAGTACGGTACGGTACGGTACGGTACGGTACAGTACGGTATAATTACAGTACAGTGCATCACAGTATATATACTATACAACGCAGTAATTAAGAAGACAACAAAGTGGTGACTAGTTGCTTGACCCAGTTCATAAATGCTTTAGCGCGCTGAAACCAATTTCATATCAGGTTATTTTCTTTCAACGCTCTTTAGACTTTAATGTGGAACGCTTCCAAGTATACAAATATTGCTTAGGCAGTCTCAGGTTATCGTCAGAGACAGAGTTAATATCGTCAGATACACTTTCGTTTCATTGTGAGAGGCTTTTGACCTTGGTGTCATTAAACCGTTAACCGTCGTCATTAATTGATTATCGCTTCTCAAGACCCTGTCAAAAGTGAAGTAGGAGGCTAATATCTTCGAAATAAACCACGACACGCAGAAACATATTATAGTGTTGAAAAATCATAGGAATACGGGAAGAAAAATTAGGGGAGCAAGACAGTGAAATGCCTGTCGTTGATGGAAATTGCCCGACATTATCATGGGTTTATTGATAGATGAATAGAAGTAATATGGAACTATTTACGAGTATATTTCTGGGATTATATATGCAATTTAGATTGAATGAAACAAATACCAATATGTCATTCAGTTTCGTACAACTATACCTCTGAAAAATACAAGGAAAAGTTACACAGTTCTTTTTTCTAATTATTGATACTACACCTACACTGGCACATTATCAGCCAGGCCTTGGCATATTGCCCGATTTTTTAGCCCGCGTTTAGGCCCAACCCGACTACTATAAAACACTCCTGTACACCTGTATTGAAAATACAGCAAAGTTATAATATTGAATTGTCCTTGCCGCTTGGGGAGATTGGTGGCTCGTTGACACTATTGTACGATTGTTTTTGCTTCTGCTTTGAAGTTCATGAATAAATTTGACAATCCTTCAGTTTTCAGTTTGAGAGTGAAAATTGCGGAATACACTTAACATCACGTCACACAAAAACACTTAACATCACGTTTTGCAATTTTGCATACAGTTTTTCTATGAACAGTCTACACCAATAGGGCCTTAAGCATGCACGACGGTGGCGCGACGACGACAACCAAAACGAAATTCTTCAAGTAAATTATTGCGAAGAAGTGTTATGTTTTGTCCACTGCATGCATGTATGAATTGAGTTCAGTTTGAAGAGATTAAAACAAAGGCTTTATGGTTAAAAACGCTTCTGCTGAGTAAATTTGTAGTTTCACTTGTCGCGTCTTGACATGTTTGTGTTGTACACGAGACGTGAAAATCTCTGGTTTGCCGTTGTAAAAAGACCTAACACAACGTCTCTAACTCCCGTGGGGCTTTTGATTATTCATTTCTTTTGTACGAGATCAGGAATATCATTCTGTGAATAGCCGTCGTCGTCGCGTTGCCGTCCTGTTTGCTTAAGGTCGCTAGTGTACGTTGTTTCAATAATAAGAAAGCTTGGATTGATAGAGATGCAACTACCTGAATAATACAAGGAGATTGTCAACAGTTTTTCTATCAATTATTTTTGAAGTATATCAATCAAGATATCGAGTATGTTTACTTGCGATGCTACCATGTAGGTAAAATGTCTTCCTCTAACAGACTTTTGGAAACCACAGCCAAATCATTTACGTATATAACTCGTTACTCATTTAATATTACGTCAACAATCATCAATTAGATTTGAAATTTATTTAGTAACGTGAAATTAACTAATTATCTAGACTGTTAAAATAACTTTTGACTGTTAAAATAACTTTTAACGTACAGAGATTTCCTGTGAGCCTCGAGAGGGTTTTTTGCGTCTGAAATGCCCTTAACCCCGCTAGCACTTCAACAATACATTGCAATTTTTTATCGAGTAGCACATAGGGCATATATATAGGTAAATTCGTGTAAATCTAGCCTAAGCCTTAACATAATTAATGGTAAAACCTTCCGATCCGGCATTCCTCATGTTAATCTCAAGTGTTAAATATGTGAAACATACATTACTTGACGTGCTGAAACTATTTATACGATGCCAGTACCGTGATCTTTGTTCCGTTTCCTTTGCAAGACTCCATGGGCTTTGGGAAACGTCACGATTTTGAGACTTATTTTGAGAGATCCTTCCTTTTCCATTTCATCTGTTCCCCTTTCCTCAGCTTGGCCTCTAAAAATGCTCGCCTGAAAAGTTCTAATAAGTTATACCACTTATGGTAGATCTACAACGATTTGAATATTTGTTACGTTGACCCTCTGCAATATTAATAACGTTCTGTGTAGAGGTGACTTGTGGTCCAATCAGGGCCGGATTAACGTTCCGCGGGGCCTGTGGCATATTATTGGAGCGGGGCCCCTTGGCCCCCCCCCCCCCCCCCCCCCCCCCCCCCCCCCCCCCC